ATGGTTGAAACATAGATAACCAATTTTTACTATGAAAATAGATTTAAAAGAGAGATTAATAATATAGTTAATATTTACTAAAAAGGTTGCATAAATTGTTCTATTAATATTATTAAAATTGTTTTTTTTAAACTTTTAAGACCATTATATTTGGAGACTAGATTAATCAACAAATTTTTTAAATAAAGATTAACAAAAATTAAAAAAAAGAAGTATTTATTAACTGATTTTGTATTTGTGTGCAATACATTTATTAATGTATGAATCAGTTGTATTTAATTGTATTACTATTAAATTTGTCTAAAAATTAAAACTTATAAAGTTAAAAGTTTTAATGAATGAATAAACGAATGAATTATGGGAAATTTGTTAGAAATATAGAGTAATATTTTTATAAACTTTTTACATTAACCAAATAAATGTAAAGTCAACAATAGATAAAAAAAAAAAAAAAAAAACTTCTGTTAAATAAAGCAAACTTCAAAAGACAATTTTAATTCATCAACATTTTAACAAATAACGTTATATACCCGCATCCCTTTAGTATTTACCCCATCTCCTTGCTCTCCTTGATCTTAAAACTCTGTTTTGTAATTTTTAATTTTTTATAAATTTTTTATTTTACTTACACTAATATTTACAATTACACTATATTTACAATAATTGCATAAGTATTTTTGTTGAAACTTATGACATTTTTGTTGACGTTTTTTTTAAATGTTTTCATTATTTGTTAGGAATTCTACTTTAGTATTGGAACTCTTTAATTTGATCATAAAAGTGTATTTAGTTACGCCGTTCATGTTTTTGAATGTGTTTTTTTTCAATCAAATCAAGTTCCTTTTTAAAAATTTACTTTAATCTACTTGATGTCATTATTAACAATTTCCGTTATCGACATGATTGACATCATTAACCTTTTTTTGTTTCAATATGCTAAAAACTTTCATTAAAAGAAAAGTTCTAGCAATATATTTAAATATATATATTTTTTAAATCAATTTTTTAATCTTTTGTAATTGTTATAAGAATCACGAATAGGATTAAAACAACAACAAAAAAAAACACCAATAATATTGTTTTAAAGTATCAAATCATATATTCATTGGGTAGTTTTGACCCTAAACATTTAATATGACGCAAATTTTGCTCAATAAATCAATGTCAAACACAGGAGGGTTATGTTATTAACTTAAATAATAGCAACTGATATTATATCAATTGATTTCAACAATAACAATATAAGAAGCTTTTTGTATAGTTAATTTTATATTATAATTTTGTATAGTAGCTTTATTAAATTTTGACAAAATTTTTTTTCAATTTTCAAAAAAAAAAATTTAATTGACTATTATCTAATTGAAAAAAAAGTTATAATTTAATTGACTATTATTTAATATTTATACAGAATATATACATGTATATGTATAAATAAACCACACATACATGTATACGTATACCATAAGTTATATATGCATATACATATGTTACAATACATTTACATACACGTTTATATATAACATATGGTTTTGTATTATCCCATATATTCCAAAGATTTGAACAATAGAGAAATTATTAAAGTGTCTTACAAGTTGATATAAAACATGAACAAAAAAATACTTTTTCATGACTTTAAAATATTTTCTAACGATTTTTTTCAAATATAAAATTTTAATTACTCGCGCGATGGAGTACTATTGCTTAAACACTCACGAAGGAGTGCTATCGCTTAAAGCGATTTGATCTGTTAATATATTAGTAAAGTAATGTTAATAAACATGACACAATGTTTATCATTTTTTTGAGCAGGATAAAAAGAAAAATGGTTTTATAAATATTCATGATTTCATTATTTTTATTGGAAGAAGAATTCAAATATTTATTATAATATAGACAATAAATGTTGTGTTTTAAGAGACTAAATTAAAAATATGTCTTCAAGCTATTCAGTAAGTAATGTTTGCAAACATAAATTTAAACAATTCGATAAACGCGTTTCGGAAATTTCTGAAATAATTTGTCGATTTTTTTTTGAACATTCTACAATAAATCAACTGTTTGGAATCGTATGACATTTAAAACATCGAACTATTTTATTAATATTAATTTTTTGCTTTTTTATTAATCGTTTTAATTGAGGGCGTATGGTATTTGTTAATCGGTTTATTTATTAGTTATGAACTTATTTGTTGCATGTTTAATTTTGTTTTATTTTGTTTCCGTTTAATAGTATAAATAAGTACATTTGTAAATGTTTAAATTGCAAAAAACGACCCGAGGCTGTTTACTATCAGGACCTCCAATTTCTCGCTAAATAGCGTTATTTTTTCAGTGTACGTGTTTTGTTTTTACGTTTTTACTTATTTCGATGAAAAGGAACACAGTAAAAAACACTAATTTGACTTTTTGTTGTTTTTTTGTTTCGACTTATCATAAAACTTCAGCTTTGATTTATTTAAGATTTATTAAAAAATACGTAATTTGCTATTTAAAAACAAAAAAAAAAAAAACAAAAAAAAAACAAAAAAAAACAACAACAATAAAAATTCTTTATTATGAAATTTAATGCTTCAGGGTAAAAAGAAACGTTTTTAAGAACAGTTCAACACGTGACGCAAGAAACGGCGATAGTTTGTCTTGCTCCATAATCCACTGTTTTCATAAAAAAGTAAAACTGTTTTTAAGTTATTTTTTTTTTAAGTTTTGTTTTGCATACAAATAGCTATTAAAAATATTTTCTCGATCCTAAATAGATAATCAACCAGCTTTAAACTTACAATTTACAAGTATGCGGTCTCAGCGGACTTAAACTCGGTTTAGTTTTTATTTAAATATGTCTCGTTTAACATTGTAATACATTGTAATAATTACAATATATATATATAATAATTGTACAACACTGTTGTTTGTCCATATGTGTTTGCGTCTGTTTGTGTGTATAATCTGTGAACACATAGAATGCTAATTTTTTAATAACAAAATATACACTTTAATGCAAAATGTCATTCTCTAAATAATTTTAAGGATTAGTCAAACAACCGTGTACAATATTTTTGCAACTAATTACTGTTTACCAAGTAAACACTATTTTTTTTAAACAGGCACTAGGTAAAAAAAAGACAACGAGGAGCAGTACTGCTCCAATTATTAGTTTTAAGCCCTGTTTAGACACCTATATCAAATATTTAAACATTACTCTTCGTGTAGTAGTCTACGTAGACTACTACAAAAATTTCTCTATTATAAAAGTGAAGGACTTTAGGAGTCCTGAAACCTATCACTTTTATAATAGAGAAATTTTTAGATAAAATGGTTGTCTGGGTTCAAGAATCCCTTTAAACTTGTTTTTTCTCTCTATAAAAAGAAGTATTAAAAAACATTTAGAGCTCCATGACAAAAAAATTCATGTAAAAATATAAATTAAAGGTGGGAACCTTTTTGAGACCGTTTAGTATTAATTTTTTGTAAATTATCGTAAAGGGTACGTTTTTGGTTCAGCTTTAATTATTTGAGCCTCATTGTTTGTTTATCTTTAAATTAACTTGTATATTTGTTTTTTTTGTTTTTTAATATTGAGTTTATATTGGAAAATTTTTGAAATTTAATTTAAAATTTCTGAACTTTATAGTAGAGTGTGAGTATAGCATTCAACATTATTGATTACGGCTTTTTGTTTTCTGCTTGTTTATGCCTTTTGTTTTCTGATTGAAATAAACGTAAGCAACAATAAACGTAAGCTCAATAAACGTGAGCAACAACTTAGAATACGAAGCAGATGCTTTCTTTATATCCCTTATACCCCTCAATCCTTATAGCCTTTTCTTCCGACTTAGAACATGATACTGAAACTTTTTTTTGTTTTTAATTTGTTAAGTAAGATACAGAATACTTTTTTTTATCTGTTTTTTCTCTCTTAAAATACGATGCAGAAATTCCTCTTATCTTTTCTTCCCACTGGCAATATGATGCAGAAATTTTGCTTAAATTGCTTTCTGTAATTCAAAACAATTTTTGTATACTATATTTTCTTTTATAATTATTTTATAAATATTATTTGCCATAATTTTATTTTTGCATGATAGCTTGCTTAACAAGATTTATCAAGATTTATCTTAACAAGATATCAACATATCAACAAATTAATTTACCTAATTAAGAGTAAGCATTAAAGCCCTTTTAATTTTCAGATTTAAGTTTAACGGGGTGATCTGTTTCTATCTACCAATTCCTCCCCCTTTTCTCGAATAAGCTTTAGTTTGCTTTGAAAAAATCTTTGATTTTTTTTAAAGATAATGAAAACGTTCTAAGTTGTATAAGTTATAATCTATTTTTGTTATTAGCTGATAAAATTGTAATAAGTTATATTGTATAGAGTTATTTATTATTAGAGTAAATGTTATGTAAATTGTCGTAAAATCAAAGCCCACTTAATTCACTTTCAGTGGCATTTCGGTTTAACATAAATTATCACAGTGATCAACTTTTGATTTGTTAATTATTTTATCGTTTGTTTCATTAATTTTTCAGATAAAAATGTTTATTTAACTATAGCGTCTAGTTTGTTATTTTCGTCCCGTAACCGGCAGACGGTTTTTAAAAACGTACTTTATTTTTATTACAATGTAAACAATATTTGTGTTCAAAAGAAATTTAAATTTTATGTGATTTTAATACCGGCTACAAACCCTTTAAACAATAAATGACGTTTGTTTATTATTTAAAACCCGTTAGATCAGATTGTTACTGACAAATGATATTCTTGAGAAAAAAAAATTATCAACAAGCCAAATTATGCAGTTCTAACAAATGTTTTAAAAAAAAGAAATAAAATGTGAGGTGTGATTAATATTTTGACAGTATTATATTAATTGCTGCTATCTATACGATATTATTTTTTTATTGTTTATTTGTGTAACCAATCAAAACGCATTTTAAATCACTTATTAAACCAGAAAAAAAATCTACTTAAAACACAATTCATTTTTCGTTATTTCTTTCAGGCTCAAACCGTTACGCCTGAAAGCATGACGGGTAAGTTTGTTTTTGTGTTGCTTTTTATTGAAAAAAGCGTCAGTAAAAAAATGTTTTTTTGTTGTTGTTGAGTAGCGAAAAAGGATTGGGGCTACGCTCTGCTTGTTTTTAGACTAATTGTTTGTTACACTAAGTAGTGTCCAGTAGACTAGAAATAAAGCGGCAGATGATATTTTACTAAAACGATATCTTGTTCGACAAGAGTGTACTAGTTTAAAATATCGTCAGTATTTATACCTTAATAAAATTGTTGCTTTCTTGCGTCTGCTTCCGCGTATATTTTTTCTCGCGTATATTGTTTTAAATCTTACATTTACAAATTAGATAGTTTATTGATATTTTGCATAAATTTCTATTTTAAATTATTATTTTATTTTTAAAGCCTTAAAAGAAGCATTTCAGGCATTTGACAAAAATGATGACGGATTTATCTCTAAAGAAGAGCTAACTCAAGTTATGTTTAGTCTCGGACACGTCATGTCAACCGCAGAAATAGATCAGATGATAAGCTTAGTAGATACGGATGGTAATTTTTATTATTGAAGACTATAAAATGGGAAACTATTTTTATCTTTCATAGAAATTTATTAATTTAGACAAAATATGTTAGAAAATTGTGTCCTTAGATACATATTATCAGAGGCGATTCTAAGGGGAATGTAGGTTTTTTAGGATTTCGTTGATTTGGTTTTGAGGATATTTTTTCCTTTTTTTTTAGCAGTCTCCAGTTTTGTATGGATTCTTCTCCTTCATTTTACTCCTAGAATCGCCCCTGCATTTTATCTATTTGGTATAAATAAATAAATTATATATACATCCAGAGCTATCCAGAATGGGGGGGTGTTGGGGGTATCCCACCTCCCAACCCCCCAAATGTGTTATATATGCATTTGTATTGACACATTTAGCATTTAAGATGGTAAATTGTTGCGATGGTTGGAGTCTAGGAACATAAAAGCAATAAGTTGATAAAATACCTTTTTACGATTCTCAACTAAAGTTTTCATTGATAAGTTTTAAATTTCATATAATAATTTTTTACCATTCAAAAATTATGACCATATAAAATTTGTAATCCCTTCAAATTAAGGTAGATTTAAATTTTATATGGTCATAATTTTTGCACGCTGACAGATTATACTATGAAATTTAAAGTTTATTGATAAAAATAACTTTAGTTATGAATAGTAAAAAATATATTTTATCAACTTGTTGCTCTCACGTTTTGGGCAGTTGTGGCCAAAATTTTAGGTCTTTTTTTTCCCCAGACTCCGATATCGCAACTATTTGCAAAACATCCTTATTTGACATAAGTATAAAAATATAAATACAATTTTTTGGTATTTGAGGTAACTAACTTCTAAATATGGAACTAACTTGAAGTTTGTTCCATGTCTAGAAGTTAGTTATCTCAAATACCAAAAATTTGTGGATTCGCCTCTGAAGTTGTGGGATATAATCCCGACTCATCCCACCTCATATATATATATATATATATATATTATATATATATATATATATATATATATATATATATATATATATATACACTGTCTTTATATTTTAATGAAAGCAATCTGAATTTTTTTTACTTTTATTATTTTTTTACTTGGTTTAATAACTCACTAATTCAAGAAATATTTAACGGTGCCAGAAAATCTCTAGGTTTTTTTATTCCCTTGTACAACGCTTTCGTCCAAATACCAACCGTAATTTTTATAATAACATTTTATATTAACAAATCGATGCCAGCTCTATCCTTAAAAGCTGCATTGTTAAGGAGGGAGGCGTGAGCTTTCTGGTCTAAAGCTCTTTCGCGGAACTCTTTGATAAAACCGAGAGGTCTTCTTCGTGCACCTTAACAATTAAAAAAAAAAAAATTAAATAAAATAAAATTAACTGACTTTCTGTTCAAAAAACATTATTTTTTTTGTTTTATTCATCAGGAAATGGTTTGATAGACTTCAAAGAATTTTTGAGTTTAATGAACACTACCAGTCAAGAAGAAATAAATGATGAGGAAGAAATGAAAATTTTATTTACTTTGATTGACGCAAATCAAGACGGATTTTTGTGTGAAAAAGAAATCCGAAACATGATGAAAGGTTTAGGAGAAAAAGTGAAAAAGAAGCATATACGAAAAATGATAAAAGAAGCCGACATAAATAAAGATGGAAAAATTAGCTTCAATGGTATATTTATTATTTATTATTAGAATATTTATTTAAGGAGTTTTGACGAACGTATATCTAATTGTACATTTGCTTTTCCATAGAGTTTAAACGAATGGTATCAAATGGTAACTTTCTTGTTAAATGAATTTTAATAAAAATACTTTTGGACAATTGAGCACCAAAGAACACTAATACATATATATTATCATCGGATATTTTTTGGTTTTTTCGAGTTATGGTTATTAAAAGAAAATTTTTATTGTCGATAGTTAATGACAAAACAAAAAAAGCAGCTAAGTATGATACTCGCAACAGTCATGAACGCGACTCGCAAAGGTTATGGTTTGAGAAAAAAGTCATCTTGTACTAGTAAAAAGTTACACTCGTCAAGACGAACTTTGTGTACATTAATAGGATGCTTATTTATTACTGCGAAATGAAATCTTTCGTTTTTTTTGGATTTGTTTTTAGTTTCAATAATTTGATTGAAATCGTGATTTTAATCGTAATCGTGATTTTAAAATTTTAAGTTTTCGTTACTCTTTAAGTCATTTTTGTTTACGATTTAATTAAAGTTTTTTTTTGTCTGAAAAAAAAAAAGAGTTTTATATGTATGTATATATATATATATATATATATATATATATATAATATATATATATATATATATATATAAATATATATATATAAATATATATATATATATATATATATATATATATATATATATATATATATATATATATATATATACACAAATATAATAAACTTAAAACAAAATATAGGTAAAAAAGACTAATCGTCTTAAAATATAAACTCTACAAAGTAAAAGAATATTTCAAAGATATCCATAGCACTTACTTAATTTTAGTTTGTGAGACACAAAACGATTACAACGTTTTTAGGAGAAAGAGGCAGTAAAACTGCCCATAATTGTATATTAAAACTGGTATATTAAATAATGGTATATTAAAACTATATGCTATATTAAATAATGGTATATTAAAACTATATACTATATTAAACCATAATGGTATATTAAAACTGCGCATAATGGTATTTTAAAACGGCGCATAATGGTATATTAAAGAGAGAGAAAGTATTTATTGTTTAATCTGTAATAAATGAAAAATCGTTAAAACTTCAGATTTTAAAATTATACAGAAAATTAAAAAAAATTAAAATAATAAAAAATAAAAATAATAAGATATTATTTTTACGATTGACCCTTTTTAATTTGTCAAAATAAATCGAAAATAATAAAAAAATAAATTCTTTGTTTCAAATGTTTAGAAAAACATCTAAAAAACACAAACAAAAATTAAAAATTAGTATCGTGTATATGTTTATTGCCCGTGTATCTTTTATGCTTATATGTATATCGCGAGGTTAGAATTATTTTGTTCTATCTCCACTTTTTGAAAAAAATGAGTTATTAATTGTGTAATGTACCTCAAAATAATGTTTTTTTAAAGTTAAAATCAAAAAAGTTTCGGAGAAAACATAAGTAATAAAAATCTTTTTATATGCCGTCTCCTAAAGTTTTTATTTTTTAAATCGTTTTATCTTGAAACAAAAAAATGTTGAGATAAAACAAAATAATTCTAACCTCGCGATATATATATATATATATATATATATATATATACATATATATATATATACATATATATATATATATATATATATATATATATATAGTCTTGCATGTCTCTTGCGTAGCATCAAAAAATATTTCCCATAAACTGTAGTTTTAAAGAGCGCGTTAATAAACCAGACCAGAAAAAGTTTTAAAAATTAATTTTTTTTTTTTAATTGATAGACTGCCTGGCCAAACCAAACCCTCAGTCGATGTAGCAGCACTCTCTTGCGAGTCAGGCTATTTGTCAGTCGTTGTAGCAGCACTCTCTTGCGAGTCAGGCTATTTGTCAGTCGATGTAGCAGCATTCCCTTGCGAGTCAGGCTATTTGTCAGTCGATGTAGCAGCACTCCGTTGCGAGTCAGGCTATTTGTCAGTCGATGTAGCAGCACTCCGTTGCGAGTCAGGCTATTTGTCAGTCGATGTAGCAGCACTCCGTTGCGAGTCAGGCTATAAGATAGTCGATGTAGCAACATTTACGCATGTTTAAAAAATGTTTTTTATTAAATCAATAACAAAAACACCACTAATTAAAAAAAACTTTCTAGTCGTTATAATTGCGGTTTTTTAAAATTTTTTTAAAAAACAATTAAATTTAATGTACTTCCGCATAAATTAATTGCTTTGACATTTCGATGACAATCAAAAACAGCTTAAGAGACGAGGTAATTAAAATTGTAGTCGTAGGAGACTTTTTTTACATTAAAATGCTCTTAAAGCGACACTATATGAGTATATATATATATATATATATATATATATATATATATATATATATATATATATATATATATATATATATATATATATATATATATATTGAGTTTATTTTGTGTGAATCGTTTATGCGTATTGTGCATGTATGTGTGTTGCAACAAAGGTCGGCGCGATGATTTTTTTGTTCGTTTTTTCAATGATTTTTTTGTTCATTTAGTCGGCAAATTTGACCCGTGTTGACTAGTTAATCAGTAAATGTAGACTCTTTTGACTAGTTAGTCGGTAAATTTAGACAGTCAGTTGGCAAATGTCGTTATGGCAGATATAACAGCAAATTTTAAAAAAAGAAGACCTTTTCTTTCTTTTTTTTAGTCGGCAAAAGTTGTAATGGCACCCTATGACACCTACTCGTGTCGGCCCTGGTTGCATCTATTGTTTTGTTTATTATGCCTGTATCCTTCGTGCGTGTAATGTAAAATTTGGCTTTATTCACTTTTAATTTGGTAATGATGTTTTATAAATAAAAAGCCAAAAAATATTTCAATATAAAAAAAACAACATTTTTTCAGTCATTATCAAAGGTTAATCGCCATATTGAGTGGGCTTGAACAGGCTTGAAATTTAATTTTACAAAGATCCAACCTCCAATAAACATTTCTTAAGATAATTTTTTACAGTTTTTATTTTAATCATTGCTGCAAATCGTTTTTTTTTATTTATAAAGTAGTTGTTTATAAAAAAGTAGGGAAGAAAAGCTTTAGTACAACTGCGGAAAAATTGCTATAACTAGGGGTTCCTTGTAGAACTATATTCAAACTCTTATTTATAATTTGTAATAGTTAACTAAATATTCTAATATTATTAGAACAATTTTCTGATGACAGAAAATTTATTCACATAAATATGTTACCTAAATCAGTAAAAATAAAACCTAAATTAAATTGAAGCCTAATAAATTGTTTTGTGAATTTATTAAAAATCAAATAACTCTCAATAACAAATTTTTAAACAAAAAATTTAAATTTAATATAGTTATACTTTTCCCGGGATTTATGAATAAGATCTCTTTATTTTCATGAATTCGTTTTTTATTCATTTTTATTTTAATAATGCCGACGCTACCCAGTACAGCCCTAAGAATTGTACAAATAAACGTAAAGTAAATGGTACCAAATATTCAAATAATAACTATGTACAGCCAAAACATACTTTGCTGCAACTAAGTTTTTAGTTTCTATTAAAGAACTTAAAGAAATAAAAGACTTATAACAGTTTTTCAAGACTTAATTGAGAATATGAAAGTTGTAATTAACAAAATCAAAATTTTTAATTTTAATAACACAACATGTAGTTAAGAAATTGTAATATTAAATTCATAATTTGTAATTGTGAATTCACAATGAAAGCTCATAGGTCATGAAAGTTGTATTATTGTATACATTGTAAAAGGTTTTCTGGAACATGAATTTAAATAAATTAATAATATCAAATTAAGCATTTGTATGCACCAGTAATAATAATGGAATTGAAAGATCATTGTGTTATTTGTCAATACACTATGACCTGAAAGTCTGCTGTTAAACTGAATCCGTGTCAGCATTTATTTCTCCAAGTTACTTACATCCGCTTCTGGAACAACTAGAAATAACGTGTCCAATTTATCAGCATGAAATACATACAAACGAACAAGTTGCAAGAAAACGGTTGAGTGATTCTGGGGCAAAATTAAGAGGTCAAATGTAAGTTAGATTTCAATTGGGTTTGTAGTAGAAGTTTAAATTTTATCGGAAGAGGTTTAAAGCAAAAGATTTTAAAGCAAAAAAATTGACTGAGGATCAGAACAAAAATAATACGACAATCAAAACAAAAAAAAAGTTTAATATTAAACAAAAATATGAAGAAAGTTTAATGAAGAAAGTTTAATATTAGCGTCAGAACAACAACCGCCTAGGCAGAACTTACCTCGAAGGCAGATTGCTTTCATTAAAAAAAAGTGCTAAAGGTAATTTATACAAGAAACAGTAATATATAATATGTTAGGAACATCAACGAATAAATCACAAATGATCATGAGATAGTTTGGTTTGATGAAACAAATTTTAATCTTTTTTGTAGAAAAACGTAAGGACGTTTCAAGCAGTAAAGAAAAGCAATAACGAAAATGCCTGGTTCAAAAGGTGTAAACATACATTTTTTTGCATCTATATCAACAACAAATGTCGTTATTAAGGAAACTTGCAGAGGATCATTTAATGAAAAATCTTGTAACGAGTCAATGTTGGTTATATTTCAACAGTTGGTTACATTCGGTAGTCTTTTAGAGGATTTGGTCATCGTAGCAGACAATGCTCCATGTTAAGCTCGTTTGGAAAGGGTGCTAAAAAATTCTCCAGCTATTTTGTGACGTTTAGGATCCTACAGTCCAATCTGGTCTAAAATTAAAAGTAACGTTATAAATGGAATTCGAATTCCATTTGTATTCGGTGCTGGGGTTGTGGAACAATGAATACAGTATTTGTAAAGAATTGGTACTGCGGCAAAAATAATAGGAGATGGTTGCGCATGTGCTGCTCAACATACTACGAAGCATTATGCAATGATTTTATGGAAGATGACCAAGTTTAACTGTGTTTTAACTGAATACTACAATGATTTGGCAATGATTTCATTACAATGAGGTGTTTAACTGAATATTACAATGATTTTTAATGACACACCATTTCAAGATGTAATTGAGAACTTAAAAGTTGTAATTGAGAAATACAACATGTAATTTAGAAATCGCAACATGTAATTAAGAAGCAGAACATGTAATTAGGAAATTTTAAAATGTAATTGAGAAACCCAACATGTATAAAGAAATCGCAATATCAAGTTTTCAATTACATCTTTAAAAGGTGTAATTTAAATTCAATTTAAATCTTTATATTTTTTTGTAAACAAACTATTTGTGTTTTATTTATTATTCATCTGATTTCTCAAATAATTTTTCACAAAAAAAAAATAAGAGAAAGTTCTAACAAACCTTTTTTGCACTTATTGCTAAAACCACAAATGCCTTTTTCACCACTTTTTATTTTATTGATAATATATTATTAT